GTTGTTATGTTTCTTTTTGTGGTATATTGTAATTTTTTGGAACTTATGAAGTTAATCAAGATTTTTTTTTGCCATATGGTTTTTAGTCACTGTTCTTTCTCTTGAGCTGGTGTCCAGGTCCTCAATGAGTCCCCCCATTGCAATTTTGGGGGGGGGGGGAGTTTCACTCATGAGTTTTCTTCCCACCAGGGCCAGACTGTTGTTTCAGTGCGTCACAGTGGGTCAGATGGGCTTCTGCTCTCTGTTGTTTAATGCCTTGATGGGTCATGGGTTTGCCTATCTGGTTCTGGATGTATTGAGCTCCACTGTTTCCCCCTGGAACACCTATAAATGCTGCACTAGATCTCCTCTTAGCTGGTCTGGCTGTCCATGGTCCGCGGTCACTCCCTGACTGCCTGTGTGCTGTTTCCCTGTCTGTGTGGGTGGAAGGGAGAACCTGGGAGTAGGGTGTGACCTGGATAGGGGAGGAGGACCATCTCAGCCCTCTGCCCTTCATCTGACTGTTCCAGAAAACTAATGTTGGGATGAACCTGGTGGGGCCCCACTCTGCGTCTGAACTTTGCTGCTGCCCCTGTGCTGAAGACTGTTGCCTCGCAAAAGACGTGACCTCTTGCTCCCTGAAGGTCACTGCGCTCCTGTTTGTTGATATCCCACTGTGAGCAGCATTGGAGTGGCTTTCTAGGGATGAAGACACGTGCTCCCCAGTTCCCCTACTCCCTAACCCAGGCTGGGAGGTCTGTCTGGCCCCAGTGTGGAGGCCTGTGGTCAGTATGAGGAACGCAGGTGAGACTGTCGCTGCTTTGTTCATTTGTTCCTGCAGCACTTTCTCCTCCTTGTCAGATTTGTCTGTCTCTTTTCCTTTCTCCCTCTGTCTCAGCAGGGTAATTGAACTGCATCTCCTTGGTGCAGGAATTCTTTGGTGTTCTCTGTGATGGGGGAGGTGCAGCCCCTACTTCCACCAAGTTTCTCTTTTTTCTTTCTGCCCCTGATCCTTCTCCTGCAGTGCTGGCTGGGTTCTGGGGAAGCAAGGCAGCTCATCTTGAGGATGTTTGACCCGCCATCTTGTTCCACATTGTCAGGTGTTTTGTCGGGTGGGAGAGCTGCTGGCATTTCTGCCACTAAATTTCTCTTTTCCTTCGTGCTTTGAATTCTACTTTTCCTCTGTTGTCTAGGGCTCAGAGGAAAGTAAAGGACTCCATCTGGGGTACTTGGCCTCACCTTGGAAGTCTGTGGGGACATCGAGTCATCGCTGACATTTCTCCCTCCTGCCTTTGCTGCTGTCTTTCTTGTTCCATTTGTCCTGCAGTGGAACAGCAGTGGCTTCACAGGGACTTGATGTCTTTCTTCTTGTGTCTGTTCTGCATACTTCTGAATTTGTGTTTGCTCCACATTTCTTTGTGAATCCCATCTTTTACCATATCTTCTTCTCTGAATGTTTGCTGTAGCACAAAGTATTTGTCCTGCATTTTGCTTCTTTCTCCTGGCTACTGGCATTAAGTTCAGACTCTTTCTCATCTTCTGCTTCTCCTTCCCTATCATCTGTCTCTCCATATCATTCTCCTGTGGGTGAAGGGGCAATGTGGCAGGAACAGGGCTCTGTGAAGCTCCAGTAGAGCAGAGTGATCTCTGTGTCTGTTATTCTGGAAACAGCAGGGGTTCAGTGTTGTGTGGTGTCACTTCCTCACTGTCTTCTGACACTGTTCTCACCTTTATCATTTTTATCACAAACATAATGTTGTTCTGTTTTCTTATTCTTTATTTTTTCTCCGTCATCCTCTCCACTGGTACTAATTTCACCATATTGGTTATTTTCTGTGTTTTGTGTTTCAGTGTTAAATATGGCACCCACCTCTTTTTCCTCTGTCTTCAGCACATCTTTCTTGTTTCCCTCTTTGTTCTCGGACTCGAGTGTCTTTTGTGCTTCTACAGTTGTTAGCCCTTCGTGTCCCAGGGCTGTGGATGGAATGCAGGGGGATCCATCAGTGTGGTCCTCCTGTCCTCTCAGTTCAGCTGGGGCCTCTGTGTCGGCTGCAGAGCTGTGTGGGTCTATAGGGGTCTGGACCTGCAGCTGCACAGCAGGGGCTTCGGAGAGGCTGGGTGTGCTTCTCTCTGTGTCTGCTCCACAGGAAGCTTCTTTTCTCGGGAAAATGGCACAATGTTTTCCTCTTTTTGTGCCCTGCTCTGCATCTCCTGTATCTCCTCACCTTTGTCAATTTTGTCGCAAACATCATTTTTTCCTGCTGGCTCTTTTTTTGTTTTTTCAATCTCATCCTCACCCCTGGCACTTTTTTCACCGTGTTGCTCATTTTCGTCCTTTGGTGTTTCATTGTTACCTGTAGGTTCGACCTCTTTCTCCTTGTTTTCCATGTCCTAATTTTCTTCAGGAGTCCTTTCCTCATCCCTGTCCTCCAACTCCTTCATTCTTTCTTCTTCTTTGAATTTGTCACTGCTGGCCATGACTGCTTGTTCATGGTTTTTCTGCTGGCCTACTGTTGGAGTTTTCTCCTCTCTGTCTCTGTGTTGTGGGAGCTCAGCGGTGATGGTGCTGCTCTCTAGCCCAGATTCCTATAGTGGCCCAGGCCTGTTCTGTAGTTCTGTCTGAGATTCTGCAGGGTCTGTGTTTTGTCTTGTTGGCACTGACAGGTTTGGCTTCTGTTGTCTCTGAGTTTTGGTTGATAGAAGTTCTTGGTCATTCTTTTTGTCTTTCTCTTGATTCTGGATCTTATTATGAAGCGTCTCACTGCTGCTCACAAGCTGGGCTGTTGGTTGCAGACTCTCTTTTGCCCCAATGTGTTGTTTCTGAAGCCTGCTCTTGACCCAGGCTCTTCCAGATTTTCTGTTCCTATTTTCTCTCAGGATCTTGCTGGCTTTCGCCCTTCCTCTGCTTTGCTCTCTTTTTCTCATCCTCCACCTGACTTGCTCCTTCCTCTTCTGTCATTGAATCGATCAGCTTTCTTGTCTGTTTTTTTTTCTGATAGTCTCATAGTGTACAGTGACAGGACACACACTGGAAACAGCTCAGTGTGTTTCCCACTGCAGCTCTAGTTTCAGACTGAGAAACAATTCTGCTTGTCTAGCAACTTCAAAATTCCATGAGTGACATCTTCAGCGACATCATAATGGGTTTTTTTGTGATGGCATATGCTCAGCCACCTTGATCATGTACTTAATGGACAGATTGTATTGAATTTCATAACTTTACCTTATGCCCTGTTGGGGATTTTCCCCCTTTTCCTTCATGTAAAGACATTTCTAAACATTTTAAAACATGCATGTTTCTGTTATGGTAGAATTGTAATATGTGCAAATATCCAATATTGTGCAAATCTACATATTATTTAGAAAGACATCTAACAGCTTTGTTATTCTGGCTCTAAACAAAACACTTTAGATCTAAGTGTGTTGTGATTTATATAATAGAAATCCATAGTACGCAACTGGTATAATATCTGCAAGATATCTAATTGATATAATATACCATCGGTTTAGCCTGCCTCAGTACTTTGCAATGAAGAGCTGCTGGTGGGAAGGAGATGTGTTAAAACATTTTCACTGTTTAAGGGAGCAACATACTGTTTCATCTCCCTGAGCTGTTACTAACACGTTTCATTCATTAACACCATCTTTCGGGTAATGCTTATTATCAAACATTTTAATAGCACACAAACTCCAGAACCATCACTGTGCTGATTCACATATTGTCTTGCCCGGCGGGCCGGACTCGCGTCCTCCTGTTGCCCCTAGCAACGGCAGCATCCCCTTGAGCTCCACAACTGTCACTCAGACTAGACCAGGAGGCCATTCAATTCAGCCAAACCTTTTTCAGTCTGTCTCTCTATCTAGATCATCATCTTGTTAATTAGATGCCCTGTTTAGTTTCTTCAGACTGTACTATCGTTGCTCTGTCATTAGAGCTCCAATCTCCATGCGGGCAGTCGCAGCTCTCTAAATGGAAGTTTGTTTTTCCTGCTTCCCTGCGCTGCAGTAGAGCGGTTCCCTTTTCACTCTTACCCCTTGTGTTTTCCTCTCTTCTTTATGTACTTTTTTTCATTTTGTAAACAATTAATTCTGCATTGGCTCGTCAGCCTCCCTTCTTTAATTTTCAGCTGGGAGCCTCACTTATTATTTTTTAAACAGTTCATAACGAACTGTCCAGTATCCAGCCCCTATCACCCCCTCCTGAATCTCCTGATTCTGCCGTTTATCACCATTTCCTTATTCTCTAAACCAGCACTGAAACCTGCACTTGGGCTCCGACCCTCTCTCACGTTGCCGCACAACACACATCTGAAAGTGTTTCAGCCTGACAGCCCCCATTCTCCAGGGTGATCGCTGTAGCTTGTGCTGTGTTAGATGTAGATAACAAAATTTAAATAACTTACAGACTTTGCTGTGTTTCTTTGGAGTCATCACACAAATCATGAAAACCTTTTCTAATTTGAACACATGTACAATATACAGTATGTAGACAGCCACCTGTCTATCTAATGGAACTTATTAATGTTTACCATCCAAGTCGCCTGCTTAGATCACAGAATGCAGGTCTTTTTCATATTCCACGCATTAATAAAAAAAAACAGTTGGCGGTAAAGCCTTTAGTTACAGGGCCTCTAGCTGATGGAACAGTCTCCCACCCCATATTCAGGATGCTGAGTCAATCTTAGTATTCAAATCCTGACTGAAGACTTATTATTTCAGCCTAGCCTGCTCACACCTAACATCATAGCCTGCTGCAACCATGGCTGCTGTACATGCCATTGTGTGTCTCTATGTTGCCCCACCAGGAAGATACATCTGTTCTGACCAAACTATCCTATTCTCCTCCCCACATGTCCAGATGGTGCCCGGGCTGGGTACCATCTGAGTTTGATGCTGCATCACTGCCATGGATCCAAGAAGGACATTGTGGTTATAGCTATCTTTGGGAGGAATTTACTGGTCTACAGAGATCTACATGGAGAACTGACATACGGAAGACATGATGGATTAATGGATTAAACACCACTATCTGCAGTTCTAATCTGGGAATGAAGCTGAGAATCCGGGCTGGGCTATTCTGTACACTCGGATTTCTTCAGGGGTGTTGAGAGGGGAGTCTAGGAGCTGTGGGTGGCCTCACAGACCACAGTGCCCACTGAGGACCACTCAGCCTCTGAGAGTGTCAGGGTACTGCCCCAGCTGTACAGGCCAGTGCCGTCCAGGAGGCCGGGGGTCTTGGTGACTTTGCTGGTCCACTGTCCGCTACAGGCTCCGGCCGGACAGGAAGCCCCTGCTGACCAGACCCTGCGGCATGGCCAACTTCTTCTCCGGCAGCTCCCTGCGGGAGGGGGGCAGGATGTCAGCGAGGGCCTAGTGTCACCTGGGAGAAAAGCAACATGGAGTGATGCTGGAGAGAAGAGGCACATTGTCTCTCAGCGTAGGACAGCAATGAGAGGTTTGGGAGAACCAGACATAAAGATACATTTCACACAGGAACTGAGGGAAATTTTAGCTAAAATGATCCCTCACATGTGTTCGACCTCGTTTAGAATACTGAGATCATAAAAGCATAAATAAATCAATTCAATGTGTGAAACAAAGATATAATTTCATTTCTTCAGTCTCAGATGGAGGATCTTATCATATGGGGGTGGATGAGTGGAGGG